TGGGATGGTGGTGGGGAAACTTCCTTCTGGTCCTGGGACTGGCTCACCTTCTCTGGCCTAGGAGCTTGGGATGGTGGCAGGGGACCTTCCTTCCAGGTCTTCTCCTTCCTTTCTTCCTTACTCCCTTCCTTCCTCCTTTCCTTCCTCCCTCTTTTCCTCCCTCCCTTCTTTCCTTCCTTCCTTCTTTTTTCAGTACAAAACAAGATTGATAAAGTCCACTAACAAGTAGTTGGAAGCTACTAAAGAGCTCAGGCAACTGGTATAACCCTGACCCAACACTGGGAGCCATGTACCACCCTGGGAGAAGCCTTAGGTCAGTCCAGTTTCTTCTTGCTGTCCAGTGAATGATCCCAGTGTCCATGAGGATGAGCAATTTTTCAGTAGCCCAGGTGTTGCCAGTCTCTGGATACACTGCATGAGATAGAGACGAACTTCCCCATAAAGGAAACCTATAGTCAAGGGCATTCAATCCCCTCTGTCTGGAAAATATAATTTTCTGACTGTTGCCTTGAATGTATTTTTGATTCAAAACAAATGGGAAAAATAACTATTTTACTCTTACTACTCTATTTAGTGATACACATTGACCTTTTTTATGTCTTATCCTATAATTTGAAGAATAAAATAAATAGCAGTGTGTGAATCCTAATAGTGTTAATAATAATTTGTTAGTCTTCATTTTTATCACTGTAAAATGTTTTATTCCAAATTTAGGGCCAAAAATGCTGGGTGAGTATGTTAGTATTCTAGAAATAAAGAGAAGAAAAATAAAGTCAGTTAAAGGAATTGAAATATCAAACTAAAACTGTATCTCTTCAAAAAGAAGACATTTCACTTTTGACAGGTAGTAAAATGAATTGCAGAACTTTTTATGAAAAAGCAGAAGGTAAAAAGCAATTGATTTGGTGAGTGGGAAGGAAGGGTCAGTAAAAAGATTTTATACTTATTGATTTCTGGGGGCTTGATCTACCCTGTTTATAAGGTCATCTTATCACATTGGCAACTGGAGCTCAATCAAAATAGTAAATCACACTAGGTAATTATGAGTTTATATTTTTCCAGTCTAAATGATAACATAAAGTGAAAAGTAATTCCCTAGTCACTCTTTTCCTGTTATCAAGGGGCTTACTGAACTAGAAACCTTCATTCTTTCCTGTCCAGAGCTTAAATCTCATGTCACAGAGACTTGGCCAACTGAAAAATGAACTAAACATCCAATTTCTACAAGACCACAAAAATTACGAAATTTGAAAGGGTTTTCAATGTAAATATAACAGCAATTGAAACTCTATAAAACAGACATAAATGACAGAGAAAATAAATTCAAATGTAGCTTTTTATATATTAGAACAACTTTCTGCTATAGGATTCAGGAATTCTGTCATATTATAATAGAATATGCCAGCAAAAATATTTAAAGTGGAGTTTGCCTTAATCTCATATTTCCAAAATTCCTAGTTAAGTAGAGAATAAGATATTGTGATAAATTCTGACTGTATATAAAAATGGTCACCACTTTTAAAGAAACTACTATGTAGAAAAAATAATAAAGCACTGAAGCTGTAACAGCTACTAAATTGATATCATTTACTTTATTTTATTTTTAAAAAATCATTCCAACTGACCATATGTATTTGTAATTCCTTGGTGCCTACTCTTGTTAAGTGTTTTTACACTTACATATAATGTGAATCTCAAAATAATCCTGTTGGGAGGCCTGGATGTTACTATAACGTGGAAACTGAAGCTTACAGAAAACATGACTTGTTCATGTTAGCAAAGATTAGAACTAGTATTTTACCCACGCTTTCTAAAGTCAGTCTTTGATTTTGCTTTTCCACTAAAATGTTTTAACTATGACTAAAAGGAATTGATTTTCCTATACATTTATGAACTAGAATCCTATCCACTGTTTTTCTTTTAACTGGGAGAGATTGGAAAGCAAAGAAGTGCATTTCTGACTCTTTTGTAGCTATCATTTGTCACACAAATGAATTCCAACCTATTAGATTTGCTAGGATGCATCTCTGAGGGCTGTTGGGAGGCAGAAACCAAATTCTGACAGCACCTGGCTCCTGTTGCTGAAGAGTAAGATCTTGAAAGCAAGAAACTTTTCTGCACCATCTTTGGTGTCCACTTGTAGGGCAGCAGTGAAAACTATTGCTCCTCTGAGCTCCACTTGCAGACTCGGAAATGGCAGTGGCCTGGGGAACCAGTTCTGTATGGCTCTGAGTCCCTGCAGAAGTACAACCTACAAGACTCTCCACCAGCTCTTCCAGAGTCTTTGGAAGTACTTAAGTCACTGAATAAAAATTCCCTTTGTTTAAAATAATATTTTTATCTTGGAAACCTAATTGACAGAGCTAGTCTCTGCCCCTTTCTAATAAATATATAAGATATAAGAGGTTCAGGTGAGATGTTTAGTTATTTTAATTCTAGGAAAACAGGATGCATTTAGCAAAGTACTACCCAATATTTCTCTAATAAAACTAATTGATATGTGGTGAACACCTATTCATCTTACAGGATCCTCTCATGTTATAAATACAATTGTTAAATTTCATGCACTGAACAGCAGCCAGTGAATAAGAAACAGTAAGTAAACAGGAGACTACTGTCTATTTAAATAATAAATATCAAACATGGATAAAAACTATTACGTTCAACTCACTTGAAATAATTATGTTTGAATTCATGACTGCTGTCAAGTGCTTTGTTAAATACTAAGGGTACACCCAGTATAAGACATGGCTGATGCCCTAATAAAATTTGTAATCTGGAGACAACTGTAGAATCAATTGGAAAAACGCATCTGAATTCTTGTTGAATTTTGACCAGAGTATTTGATTCTTTTTTAAATTGTCATTTTTATTTTTACCTTGTGTATATTCTGCTGGTGGAAAAAAACCATCATTGACATGAATATCAAAGGAGACTGAAAATCATTTCCAACTAACATTAGCTATTGAAGTTAAAATAGGGAATTTTGTTGTAGAGGTCTGTGACTTTAATCTTCCTTGAGATTTTACTAGTAATCAGATAAAGGCAATTCAATGTAATAAATTATGTCTAAGAAGCATTTGATAAGAATGGGATATAGATAATTACTATTTGTGCCACAGCTGACAGCTCTAGCGGTATAGCTGGATGTTCAGTTTTTGGCTCAATGACATTATATTGGTGAATTTTTTTTATGTTCAACAATAATCAAAAGGAACTTATTTTGGAAGATAAAGTACTAGTGCTCCCCACAAGGTGCTTTTCTTATAATTTCCAAATAACAATTAATAAATGCAAACTTTAGAGTTAAAAGGATCCTGGGCCGGGGATTTTAGCTCAGTGGTTCTGCCACCTGCCTTGCAAGCGGGAAGTCCCGAGTTCAATCCCTGGTACCCCCCCCCCCAAAATTAAAAGGATCCCAAATAATGTGAAACTATCAGAAAATGCTGAAAGAAATAAACTACTCAAGGTGAATGGTTATTATAGAAAAAGTGAATATCTTCAGTCTTTGTTTTAAGTGGAATTTCTATACCTGATAATAAATAAGGATAAGATTAAAAAGATAGAGGCCTGGGATTTAGCTCAGTGGTTCTTCCACCTGCCTCGCAAGCTGAAGGTCCCTCATTCGATCCCGGTACAAAAAAAAAAAGATACCACTATTAAATTTCATATATTT